ATATATTAGAGATACCTACGTGTTTTTTTTTTATTGATGACTAGCTGTACACGGGATTTCGCCGTGTGTAATTTAACTTTATTTTACTAAAATATAAGAAGTTACATTCCACGCGAACGAAGTCGCGTGTACAGCTAGTTGTCGGTAGTCTAGCGATTTAGCTAGTACACCGCTTTGATTCCTGCTTGGTGGTCGAGGGTTCGATTCCTCGCACGCTGCAAACATTTGTATTCATGAGTATGATTGTTTGTAACGGTCTGGGTGTTTTCTATGTATAGATAATATATATTAATTTACGAAAAAAATCTTTGTATTTTGTATCAGTTATCTGGTACCCATAACACAATGTTCAGCTAGCTTAACTTGGGTCTAGATGAAGCTGTGTGAATTGTCCTGAGATTACTATTATTACTATAATAAATCTTTTCAAATCAGCCGATGTTTATTTTTGCCATAATACGTGCTGTTACCATGTGATAATATTACGTAGTTACTGTTTGATAATATTATAATATTAACTATTTATTACTGTTTTAAATGTGATGTGTTCATTATTTATATTTCCTTTGAATTAAAGACAAGTGTATATATATATATATATATATTTATATGTACACTTTGTTGATCCAGCCACGACCCTTAGATACATTTGCTGGTTCCACTGTCTCTCTCTTTCTACCAATATAACGGTTTCGTGGCGGAACGGCAACATGTTGCCGTTCCGCGAGACCATGCGTTGTTGCCTAGATAAAGTATTCGTCGATAGTACCTGTACTCGATATATATTTTTTCAACAATTTCCTGCAATAGTGAATCCGTATCGGCAATTTTTTTTAAATGCACAAAAATTTTTTGGCTCTGAATATATTTAAAAATCATTTACTTGTGTGTTGATGAATTTATATACTAGTACATGAAGTACCTAATACTTGTTTTGATTTGAATAGGTAGCGATATTATGAATTTATTGTACGTAATCTAAAGATTTTGACGAAATAAGAGTAATTAGTTATCTATCTATCTGTTAATCTTGACTTCATGCTGGCACCAGTATTATCAGATGATGAACATACTCTTCGAAAACTTACAGCAGAAATATCGTGTTTGGACTCATTAGATTGGTCTCGATGAATAGAGTTTAAAAAACTTAAAATAAATGGTAAATTAGAAATAACGTATAAAAACACTCTACGCAAAATTCAACCACTTTAAAACTTAATAATAATAATTAGGAAAAGATCAAAGCTATAAGTGCACTGAAAGTAATTGATGGCTTCCACACAATATTTTCAGTACTAAACAACTCTGTTTGTTCAGTAAAAGTGTAAATACACTGGTAACCTTTAATCATATTTTATATGCAAACATTACATATACAAACCCTAAAGTTTTATTTCAAGTAAATAACTAGTTTATTAGCATACAACGTTATAATTTAATTTTCTCATTGCTTATATATATTTAATTGATTTTTTAGAAACATGAAAGCGTAGCGGTTTTTGTATTGATTGCCTGTGCATGCATTCTTATGTAAAATGTGAATACTATAACTATCAGATGGCAATTGTAAGTAGCTTTGAAGAGTCTAGTGTTTTGAGTAGTCATGCTACTAAAATGTCAAAGACTTTGGCGGCGTGGTACATATATATTATCTATACATAGAAAATATGGTCGAGCGCAGTAATGGCTGGCTCATCCGTCATACTCGTGAACGGGTGCTGCTTGTAGGGACTGGTCTGCTCTAATCACTATGAGTGATTTCCTCTTATCAATTGTTTAACCAGTTGGTTATATATTCAATATTTTTTCTATTTGAGTATTTAATTGAATTAGTGCTAATTGTTGGTTTGTATTCACACACATATATATTAAAAATGTAAAGTAATAATAAAATTATTTAAAAACAATCATAGTTTCTTGCTACGTTCTTCTTGTGATGAGACAGCTTTCGAACGAGCGGTAGATTAAAAAATGTAATGACTATTCAAAAGTGCTTCAATGTAAGTTTATTTGAATAAATGATTTTCTATTTCTATTTCAGAATGGCCAGTAGTTTTCAAGAAATAACGTAGGTATCTTGAATATATTATAACTTATATATATACTAGTTTTTTCACCACAGCAAACAACACCAATATGGCCTAGTTAGTAGTGTACCTGTTTACCAATTTACCACATAGATACCCCGAGTTCGAATCCTACACTATTTTTCATTATTTATTTTTTTGTGTTTTTTTTATTTTATATTTTAATAATTAATTTATGATTATATACGATTATGAATTTATAATAAAAACGTAGTTAAGTATTAAATTAATTTTACTAGTTAGGTGTGTACCTGTGTACCAACTTACCACACAGACACCCCGGGAACATTATTTACCATTGACTATTGTTATTTACTTCTCCTTTTTTTCTTTTTTTTTAATCTTAATATTTTAATAATTAAATTAATTTATTTGAGAAAAACGTAAAGTTTAAGTATTAAATTAATTTTATCATTATGTATGTACTTATATATAATATTTACCACACATGGGTTACATCCCGGGTTCGATATATATTTGACTATTGTATATTTACTTTTTTTATTGTTTTTTTTAATTTATTATTTGAATAATTAAATTAATTTATACGATTTATATTAAGTATTAAATTAATTTTACTAGTTCATGGTTGCCTGGTAAATAACGCACACAAATATTAAGTCGGGTTCGATTCCCACATGTACTTTTTTTTTTGTTTTTTAAAGTTAAAGAAATAAAAAAATACAATACTGTTTAATGATAAAAACGTTGTTTAATATCAAAATAAATCAACAAAAAAGTCCGACATTATAACTATTATAGCATGCACAAAAAATATTTTGTAATAATAAAGAAAATTTTGAAATGTTGTTGTGTTCATTAAAATCATGTAAACTATGTTATTATGTCATAATCTAAAGAAATAATAATATTTTATAGTGACATATCCACTATAAAATACCAAAAAGTAGCAATGTAATTCGTTACGCGCGAATCAGGTGTTATAAGGTCAAAGGTGCACCCCGCGTATTTGATAAATAGTGCTTCTCTGGATGTCTTTAAGAGAAAATTGCAGTATGTTAATATGTACAAATAGTTAAGTTTTTAAAATGTACATAAAGTCAAAAAAAAAATTTTTATGTACGGGAATCGAACCTTGAGCGTCCGTTAATATAATTGATTTTTACTTGTATCTATTTTATCAAAATTAAATGGTCATTTTGTAATAATACCCTCTCTTCGCATAAACTTATCGAAAAAATACTAATACACGACGACGCAGTACAATAAAATATCTATTCAGTATTTATTCATAATTAATAGACCGTTACGGTTCAATGTATATATTCGGATAAAACAAGTACTAGCATTAAGAATATAAAATATATAAATTGATTAATATAATAAAGTAATTGATTTTTGAAATATATTCAGAGCCAAAAAGTCTTCTTTCTTTGTTTATGTACTTGTTAGATGCGACAGCGACTTTTTTTTTATATATACTATGTAATGATTGATATACCTAAAATAAATAAAATATCTGAGGTTTGGACAAAAATTCAAAGGTACTTAATTTTTTTAAAAAGTATTTTGAAAATACCTATTTTGCATTTAGTGTTATAATACAAAACACAAAACTATTTTTGTGTTTTAAGTAACATTTAATTATGAATTCACTGTCGATAGCAACATTCCGATCGGAAAAAGATAACCGTTTCATTATTTTATAATAAATTAGTGGACAATTAACACAGTCCTTTTTTTTTGATACTGAAAAATCTTGATATAAATAGATATTTTTATTTTGTAAATACATATATAATATACATATAAAACACACCAGACCGATGAAAACAATCGATGACCGATGAGTACAAATGTTTGCATCGTGCGAGAAATCGAACCCGCAACCATTGGAAGTAAAATGGGGTGCTAAACTGCTAGACCACCGAAGCTGTCAAGAATATATAAATAATCTTATGAATTTAATTTATTCTAATTTGTTTATGTGCGCGGGGTGCGGTGTACGGGTACACGCGCTCCACCGTTGCTGGAGCTTGCATGTATGGAGCATTGCGAATATAAAATATCTAGATTAGTAAATTCATAATTGATAGAAAAAAACGGTATCTATATATATTCGGATTAAAATAAGTCATCGCAATAAGGACCAGTATATTCTCTGTATCAACACAATTAATTGATTTTTGAAATATATATACAGAGCCAAAAAGTCTTTGTGTATTCAAAAAATATCTAATTTGTTTGTGTGCGCATGACTCCCATGTACCTCCATGAGGGGGGACCCTGGATCCGCCGTTGCGTCTTCTTTATCGCTCGGAACGTTGTTACGAATATAAAATATCTACATTAGTAAATTAATAAAGTCATAATTGATAGACCGTTACGTTATCTATATATATTCGGATGAAATAAGTATCGCAGTAAGGACGAGTATATAAAGTGATCAACATAATTAATTGATTTTTGGAATATATTTAGAGCCCAAAAGTCTTTGAGTAAGCCCTTGAAAAATTTAGCCGTTCGGAGCCATTCAGTCATCGAATTATTAGTAAAAAAAGTGTCGAGTATATCGTATATCGACGAATATATATGTCTTGACATCGCAAAATAGAATCAACGTTTATATATGGTCATCTGAGATTACGATCAACAAAAGGAGTCAAGATTATTCAGTGCAAAAGGATGGAACAAAAAACTGTTTAGGTTGTGGCGTGATCAACAAAGTGCCCAAGGGGATATTTATATATATATATATATATATATAATTGTAAAGAGACGATAACTGTTATATATATCAATCAGAATAATGATAGTAATAAACAAAAAGAACTATCACCCAAAGGTCAAATCGATAATATATATGTATGTGAGTAGTAATATCACAATAGTAGGTATTTTGATAATAATGGATTCTAAAAAACAATGTGTTTTTGTTGCATTTAATTTCAGTTCCATCAGAGAAAAAATCCGTAGTAACAAAAAAAACAGAAGAAAATTCTTGCGACAAGGATCCTGAGCAATCGCGTCAATTACCGAATGCTAGTCAAGGTACAGACAACAATAAGTTGTTACGTTTTTATGTTATATTTCTTTTGCTAAAACTCAATTTACAATACATAATTATTATCAGCAGCGTCATGCCTGCAACGAAAAAATATCAATCTTAAATTACATAAAGAGATAAATATTATCTAGTATTAGTAATATTCAATTTTTTTTACCACATTGGTGTCGAACTAGCGTTAGGTCCATCTGATGATAAGCGCCTGAAACAGCAGGGGAGTAGTTTGCGCGTTGCTGCACCTTAAGAAATCTTAATATACCCTTCTTGAAAAACCCTATACTGTTAATTTCAATTAATGACTAACTAACTAACAAACATTTTATGTGTAAATGTGCATGTTTCCAGGCCCGTTTCAGCTATGTGTTATATAATAGGCCAGTTTCTTTTTAATTATATTGAAAAAATAATATTCTAAGACATGAATTGTATACAAGCAATTTCGTTACAGTATTCTATGAATTTGATAACATAATTACAATATATTATACCATAGCTAACTCTCGTAAAACAAGTACTGCATATAGCCGACGACGAATAAGTATAGAACACCCCCAAAGATTGCCACAAAGAATGTTCCCCATCAGTCGCTGCCATCCATCGAATTCGTCCCACCATATTTGAAATCTCTTAAAAAATTTTCAAATTCTATTATTTCAAAGTTTATTAACATATTACATTTTCGTTACTTTGTATATACATTAGTACATATGTAGGTATATTTATACTGCTTAGTTATGGATAGTTATTTTTATATATAATATATAATTCTACTACTATATAATTATTTTAGTACTTAAAATATACATTTATAATAATTTGTTTTGCATAGATGTCTTGACAATATTCCTCTAAACTCGTACTTTGTCTATTTATATCGCCTGTCCAACACTCGTGCACTACCATTGCCCGCTAAGGTTGGAAGAGATCTATTTCAGAGATAAGCCAAGATAAAATAGTATATGACTATTAAGTTACAAGTGCAATAAAGAGAATACATATATTTTAATCTAATTATTTCCCAGTTTCAGGTAATAAGAAAAGTATGAATATTATTATTACAGCTGTGACAATTGTAATAGTGGTATTAGTGGTATTAATAATTCTATTAAGATTATTTATTCGAAGACGTAAAGGCCTTGTGGAGAAGTCTTGCCATGAAGAAAATGTAAGTTTCTTTTCGTAATTATGATAAATATTCAATGCGAGCGAAGCCACGGGTAAAAGCTAGTACCTATATAACACAATAAAAAGTTCTTGATGCACTGTCAATATAAGGGTTAAAAAATGCGTAGTATTATTTTAAGCGTGGCTCTTAACCGAGATTCAGCAAGTTTGAGTAATTGTTAAAAACATTTATGAAGTAACTTTTATCTTTACAAACCAAATTAAAGTTAACATGGAATAAAATAATGATATCAAAATTTATTAACATAATATGTATTTGCTTGAAACTGTAATTGAGACTCTCTCCAATTAAAACACAATTATGTCGCAGATAATATTATGTTACATTATATAACGTTTTTTAAAACATAATTGTTGAATATCTATTTTTCAGGAGAATCCACAAAACCTGTATGTGGAAATACATGAAACCAATAAAAAAATTAAATATGGCGCGAACGCAGGAAAATCAGAAGTGCAATATGCAGAATTGATGCTGCGCGATTCACAAAACAAGGAACCTGAGCTTGTACAAGATAAAATAATTTACTCGAAAATTGCGGGCGTTATATTGCCTCGAGATAGAAAATCAGAAAAATAAAAAGGAGAATGCGGAGTGAATCCTGACAGCGTTTAAAACCATATCTATAGTTTATTTATATTATTAACACGAACTAATTTTATGCCAAATGAAGGTAGGGGAACGGGGGGCACGTTGTTACGGGGGTAGGAAGTTACACGCGTTTTTACCGGGATTTTAAACTCTTTGATGGATACAATTTGACTCATTTGTGTTCTTATAACGTCGTGCACTAGATAAAAACAATCAATGACCTGCCAAGCGCCAAGGAACTAGGTTGTGTGCATGTGTCTCGATTTCAACCAAGTAAGTAAAAAAATCTTTTACGAAATTTTTGATTCCTGATGTCTATATCTTTTATTTCCTCAAAATTTTTGACCTTGAACGTTCATTACATATCTACCTTGAATTTGCAATATTATTTTATTTTGATATTGATATACATTAATGATGACTTTAATTTATATTAAAAAACGTATCATGGGGCAAGTAGGTACAATTGTTTGGGGTAAGTTGTTTGTTACATGTAACAACTACGCTTAAGCTTACTATAAAATTGAAGAATTCGTTAACGATAATAATGTTTTTATATAAAAACTTCAAATCCATAGCACTGACAATATTATCTAATTACACTAATAATGAGTGCGTGTTATACTGTAATTATTTATATAAAAAAACATCTATTAAAAAGAGCAACACACAAGTTTGTTGCTCATTCTTCTTGTGACGAATGAGTGGTAGAATCAAAATATGACTATTCAAAAGTGCTTGTAATGAGTTTATTTGAATAAAGATTATTTCTATAAAACTCGATTTAAAAAATATTCCCCCCAGTTGGTATAAAAATAATATGGCTGGGCAGGACTGGTTTCCTGGTTTTAAATGTTACTGACTGTTTAAAATGATGTCTATTGTTTATAATATTTTAAAATAATAATAAAAAAAATATGATAATTAATGATTGTGTTTATTTATCTACCGTAACATCGTGCCCCGATGATGTAACAACTAGCCCCAATTGGGGGGTAATATGTTACAATCGACTTGTTTAGTTAAATTTCCCATCGTGAAAGAATTACATACATTTTAATAATTTTTCAGTCATATTTTAATAGCTAAATAGACATACTAACTTTGCAAGTAATCCAATGTATAATTTGTTTCAGAACTTTTGTCATATTAACATTTATCTAAAAATGTGCCCCCCGCTCCCCTATTACCTCTCTCGATGTTTCGACTTGGTAGATGTAAAAACAGCTATCGCCTATCTACATTGACATCGCTGTTACTCCAGTCAGCTCGTGACCACGGCTAGTGAAACCTTGTCGAAACGTCGAGAGAGGTTTACTTTAATAAAATACCTTTTCTTGCTATAAAATTAGTTCGTGTTAAGAACCGGTTAATAATATAAATAATGTATATTAAACACGGAGACATGATCTTGGAAGGGCACACTGAATGATGATGATGACTATTACGATTTTGTAAATAATTTAAATTAAACGACTTCATCCGCGTATTACAGTGTCCTTGACCAAATAAAGAAAAAATATTCAATAATCTAGACCAAAAAAGCCAAAACCGTCGTTCGTCATTTTTAAAGAACGACGGCTTTGGCTTTTTTGGTAGAACTTTCATCCCCATATTATATTTAAGGGTAACATTTTCACAATTTTTAAATGTTATATTTCTTTATATAAAAATAAGTTTCACACTTGTCGCTTTAAAAATGACGACACTTCCATACAACCAAAATTCATTTCCGCCTTACAACCCTATTTTACCTTAATAAGTATAGCCTATGTTCTTTCTTTTTTAAGGGGCTAGACTAACTGTGTACTACATTTCATTTAAATCGGTTCAGTAGTTTTGGAGTGATAGATAGATGTAGATAGATAGACAGAATTGCTTTCGCATTTATAATATTAGTAAGGATTTGTATAACGTACTCTAATTTATTTTTGACAGTATACTATAATAATATGTTTGTTTTTTATTATGAATATATACGAATTGAAGCGTATATGAGTAAATAACACTTATTCTTTCTAAGAGGTATATGTATCTAACGATATCGGTGGTAAAATTAATTATGAATTATTGTGTTCTTAAAACTGTCAGTTCCTATAATTAAATGTAATTAGAAGTAATATATAGTAATAATAATGGCTACAGCCATAGTTATAACAAATTTATATACAAACTATTATGACATGTAGTAAATATAAACCAAAATAACTAATTAACTGTATTTTTTCTTAATTATCTTGTATGCCATTCAATACATTCCTATGTTGTTCTGTGAACTAACATTTTAAGTGAAATTAACGTTCGTTTTTGTTTGTTTAACTATCATTACTGGACCATCCTACTACTGCAATCGATTAATTATCAACTCAATTCACCTATCTTTACAATTAGTATGCACCAATGCCAATCAGGAATAAAATTATAACATTGTTTTGTTGATCTTGCTTAGTAAGTTCATCCATCGCAGTGTAGAGGCGTGCAGCCGGTTAAGATCCTGCGTGTTGTGGCTATACAGCCACAACACGCAGGTTCTTAACTGGACCTACAGAGTATCCTTCCACAAACTTGCGTAGTTCCTGATACCTGGTGGTAGTGGCAATGAATATCCATAAAATAATGGTACCCACTGACCTGCAATCCAATTTAGAGCACTGTAAAAAGAACAATGCGTACATCAAATCTATGGCTATACAGCCACAACACGCAGGTTCTTAACTGGACCTACAGAGCATCCTTCCACAAACTTGCATAGTTTCTAATACCTGGTGGTAGTGGCACTGAATATCCATAAAATAATGGTACCCACTGACCTGCAATCCAATTTAGAGCACTGTAAAAAGAACAATGCGTACATCAAATCTATGGCTATACAGCCACAACACGCAGGTTCTTAACTGGACCTACAGAGCATCCTTCCACAAACTTGCATAGTTCCTGATACCTGGTGGTAGTGGCAATGAATATCCATAAAACAATGGTCCCCGCTGACCTGCAATCCAATTTAGAGCAATGTAAAAAGAACAATGCGTACATCAAATCTATGGCTATACAGCCACAACACGCAGGTTCTTAACTGGACCTACAGAGCATCCTTCCACAAACTTGCATAGTTCCTGATACCTGGTGGTAGTGGCAATGAATATCCATAAAATAATGGTACCCACTGACCTGCAATCCAATTTAGAGCACTGTAAAAAGAACAATGCGTACATCAAATCTATGGCTATACAGCCACAACACGCAGGTTCTTAACTGGACCTACAGAGCATCCTTCCACAAACTTGCATAGTTCCTGATACCTGGTGGTAGTGGCAATGAATATCCATAAAACAATGGTCCCCGCTGACCTGCAATCCAATTTAGAGCAATGTAAAAAGAACAATGCGTACATCAAATCTATGGCTATACAGCCACAATACGCAGGTTCTTAACTGGACCTACAGAATATCCTTCCACAAACTTGCATAGTTCCTGATACCTGGTGGTAGTGGCAATGAATATCCACAAAATAATGGTACCCACTGACCTGCAATCCAATTTAGAGCACTGTAAAAAGAACAATGCGTACATCAAATCCAAGCTGAAGACGACGTCCGGATAGTAGGAAAATGGAGACAGTCTCTTGCGATATAATTTGTATTAATAGTAAACACAGTCTAGGAGTAATTTTTCAGAACTGTTCTATGACGCGTGTATAAATAATTATTTTATGAGAGAAAAGCGGTGCACAATGTGACTTTTTTATTAATAAAAACAAAAGACGGCGGGCGTTCTTCTATTTTTTTCTTGTATTGAATTTAAAAGTATTCTCTATTTATTAGCGGCCAGTTACAAATTAGGTAACTGGAACAAAATACCTTCAAATACCTTCAAATTTTGTAACATAAATTTAATATATTGTAAGTAAATAAATAAATAAAATAAAATAAATTATCTAAGTGCCCTAATAATTTTTAAATATTAATGTAATATAGATACGGCTTGTTCACGAATTTATTATACGTATGTATGTTAAAGCAGTGATCAATCAGGCATTTTCAGAAGTGTCGAAAACAGCCCCTAATTCAAATTTTAACACTGCTCAATTACTTGACTAATTACAACGGTGTTCAACGTTGACGATATATATATGTATACATACATAGTATTTATATATGTACTAGTTTGTTTTGCCATATAAATTAATATCGCTATTAAAAAATAGGGGTATGATGGTTGTTCGCGCTGGTCTTTGCCTCCTGCTGGGAATCTATAACTGCATTCCATGCACTGAAGGCGGGTCACTTGTTCGCATTGTCGCCATTATCGCAAGGTCGCATCAAATAATTAATTCAATATAAAAATACTTCTATTATAATTTGCAAATAAAATACAACAAAGCAAGAAAGGACTGTATGTATATCATAGCGAGTTCATGAAAAGTAGTGCAATATGGTAATTGAAAAAGATTGTGCGAGTTTGGTGACAAGGTCAGTGTGCATTTTATTTATTGGATATTAAAGTTAAAAATATATCATTATTCGAACAATGGTAGAAGGGTAAAAATTTAGGGTTGTATGAAATATTTAATTAAATATTCTTTATTGCACTTAAATACATTTGTATATATATTAATTACAACTAATGTTAACAAAGGAGGACTTATCTCTAAAAGAGATCTCTTCCAGTCAACCCAATAGAGCGTGGCATAGGAAGTGTTGAGTGGGTCAAAATGTGCAAATAATAATTCTTATAAAAATGTTATAAATAATTAAAATTAAACATAAAAATATAATGTCCAAAATATAGATACTAATACAATATACATAAAGATAAAAAAAAATTAATATATTTATATATATATATATATATATGTACTTGAATACCTAAACTAAAAAAAAATTTAATGCTGAATTAAAAAAGAAGAAACATAAATTTTCGGATATCATTCCTGTACGAGCTGCCATTATTTCGTAACATAAACATTATATTTTATATTTCATATTTCATTAAAATCAGTTCGCATTCAGCTTCAAGGACGCTGCGCGTACTCATTTCACTCATTAATCAGTTATATTTTAAGTTTCAAAATACAGT